AGTATTTTGAGTTGTCATGTTTTTGCAGGTTTAGTTTAGTTCCATGTGTCATTCTCTCTATGTCGAGTCTGTGTCTTAGTGTGATGGTTTCTTGTTCCTGTTTTATTGTGAAGGTCTGCGTCTCATGTGAGTGTGTTCAGTTTTACCTCTGTCTCGTCTTGTTGATTATTCCCAGCTGTGTCCACCACCTGTGTGTAATTCCCTTGTGTTTCTCTGTGTATCCACCATGTCTCACCCGTGTGTTCTCCCTGCTGTCCATCGTCATTCTCCTCTGCTCGTTCTCATTCTTGTCCAGGTTTGTGCTCGGTAGTTTAGTTGTTTCCAGTCTAGTTTAGTTCGTGCTCCATTTGCTGTTTGTCTATATTTATTTTGTATTTAATAAACCACCCTCACCCCTTTACAAGTGCCTGCTTTTGGATCCTCCTTTATTTCCCACACGGCTCATCGCACTCGCCGTGACAGTCCTTGTGTGGTGTCCATCATTTTGGCTGATCAAAAATCTTCATAGTGTCACTACAGGCCAAGGTAATGCCGTCCATGGTAAGTATCTGGTTAGATGCCATGTTTTTAAGAATTTTAGGGTTAGTTTTGTCTGAATTCGAAGCAGAAAATTAGAGTTCGTCCAGGCCTTTATGCCTATAAGACATGTCGTATTTGTGTCATCTGACTTCATAAATAACCACAACTGGGTATCAGCTGCATTGCATTGGAAATGCATCCTGTGTCTTCTAATAATACTTCCTAATTGGAGTAGGATTATGTAAAAAGGTCCCAGCAGAAAGGCAGCTGCTTGAAATGAGAGGTTGCAAATCTTTAGTTATATCATGGAGCTAGATTAAAATTCCCCCAGGAAATCTGAACAGGACCTTTAAAATCCAAATGCAACTTAACTGAATTGTAAAAGAGTGGACAAGCTCAAAATGTAATAACCCTCAACTTCTGTCCCTTCCAGGACTCTGACTGAGTGACTATAATAGTTAATATAGCCTAAGAGCAAGTACTTGGCAACAGTGAGAAGGAAAAACTCCCTTTTAACAGGAAACGGCTTTGACAGCGGGAGAAAGAGAGAGCATACTTTCATTCTTGTAAAAAGATTATGCCATCTCAAGAGCAAATGAAGCATGAATTGTCAGAGAAACAAAGCACCTTCAGCACATCCAAACAGATGGAACAAGAGAAGGTTTCTAGGTCGAGCTGAACTCCTTTCTCTGCCGTTTCTCCTCTCAGTGTCAGTGACTGTGAGTTTCTCTTCCTTATAACTGAAACTAGTCTGAGCTCTGATCTCAACATCATGTGTTTCTGCAGTGAATGGATCCTGTCAAGTTTCATTCCAGGAGGAGGACTGGTTTGTGAGCGATACTGTGTTGAACCCTTTTGTAAATGTAGTTCTTACATCAACTTTTAAGCTTCTTAACCCTTTATTCTATATAAATAAACTTCACTTTAGAAATGTCAGAGTTCTCACTGAAGTAAACAAACAGTCCTTCAGGTTTAGTCAATGCAGGAGGATAATGATCCTAAACATACAGATAAGGCAGCCACTGACATGATACTTATGTTGCATTTAAGTTTATGTTCATTTCAATTGTTTCTGTCCTTAAACAAACATCAAAGATGAGAGGGTGCAGCAGGCGTAGTAGTTGATATATGAGGCAGTAAATAAGTGAAAGGGTTTTCAAACACATTCAGCTCCACAAAAATGTGATAAATGTTTGACAATAATAATAAAAAGAAACTCTGACACCTTCTTTAAAAAAAAAAAAAAAAAAAGCACCGGACCTTCCTTGCTAAGTGCTCGGAGCAAAACTCTCCTTCTCTCCCTTTACTAGGAGTTTCTGCTGTTGACCCACTAGATGGCAGGCTTTTGCCATGAGCAGGCCAGGAATAAACATATTTGTTGACACATCTATTCAGTTACTTACAGCAATAATTACTACAACCTATAACATACCTCAGAAACAATCCGAGGGACAGAATACTCAGTTACGTTGCAATAGGTTTAGGCAGCTGGGGTATTCTCATGATGCACTGAGTGTTTCTTCTTCCAGTCAGCCTTTTTAGTCACTAGTGTTTATACATCTCTCGATATTTAATTGTTAGTTATGTATAATATCTGGCTCGCTTCCACAGTGTGTCGTGTCCCGATTTCCTCCCGTCACCTCCAACCAGTCGTGGCAATTGGTTAAATTGAATTGAATTGAGACCTCCAGCCTGCAGATGTGGCTGTTGAGACATTTTGGTGAAAATTTTAATCATGGATACTTTCCAAAACATGGATATAAAACTGAGCAAACACCTGGATTTTCAAGAGAAGAGTGAGAGATGATTTCTTTGTGATGTAATTTTATTTGTAAATAACATTAATACTAGTGAATAAAATGACTTCACTAGCTGGGCCCATGTCCTCATTTTAAGTTTTTTAAGCAGTTTAGTAGGTAAAAGTGAATGCTTTGACATGAATTGAGCTGTGGTTTGGGGAAGGCCTCGAAGGGGACTGGCGATGGCTCCTGGGCCTGGCAGATCCCCATGTACTAAATAGAAGTGAAGAAGTTGAAGAATGGAAAAGGAGGGGGGCAGGGTTGGGCACGTAAACGAGAATGATCAGCTTGCAGAACTAGGGGAACCTATATAGATGACAGCTGGAAGAAGTGTGTTTGGAGGTGTGGTCTTGCTCCTGAAATTCCAATACATAATCTCCAACACAAATCTTTGAGTTTATTTAATTCCTGAAAAAAATGACAAAATACAAATGTAGTGTAGCATGATATGATTGATGTATGATATGATGTATGAATCACAGCATCAGAAGTGTAGGTCAAGTTGATACTTCACTGGGGAGAACTCCAAAAGATATCCAGTAACATTTACATCTGATATGGCCTTGTTTGTATTTGGTACCAATGTGTACAAAGATTAACTCGTACACCTTCTGAGAGAACATGTCAACATCATAATCTCACAAATTCAACAAGGTAATGAAGCAGTGATTTATTTAGTCTTTAGACCGACTGCTTGAACTAATCAGTAAAATGAGTTACAGATGTAGACAGACCAAAGATCTAGCTTAAATTGTTTATTCAGATTAGCAGATCAGAAACATTTCCAAAAGTCTGACAGCTTACAAGCAAAGCCATGACCTTATAACATCCATCCCTCCATGTGACATTTCACACAAAAACACCACAACATACAAGAACTGACGCCACCTTTAAGTCAGGAAAGAAATCGTTCTCAGTGAAACAGGTGGAGCAGAAGTGAGTTTACTTCAAAGCCTGTGTTGTTATAATTTTGACTCCAGGCTCACTTCTAGGTCTCAGTATTTAGCTCTTGTCACCCAGACTTGCTTGTCAAACAGGTACTCTGCCATCTTGTTTGTGTGGGCATCCATGCGAGTGAGGTTAGTGATGTGGTCACCCAGCTTCTTGATGGACTTCACCTGCTCATCCAGGTAGTGGCTCTCCAGGAAGTCACACAGCTGGGAAAACACACACAAATTATAGTTAACATTTGATGATTTGTCAAACATATACTGCATGAACTAGTTCAGTCTTTAACCCCAAACTCTTCCCTCCAACTCCCGCTTACATGAGGGTCATTATGCTGAGAAGCCAGCTTGTGCAGGTCCAGCAGAGCCTGGTTGACTTTCTTCTCCAGCTGCAGAGCACACTGCATGGCCTCCAGCCCGCTGCCCCACTCGTCACGCTCTGGTTTCTGCCCAACAAACAATTCCGTTATAGACTGAACACTCTTAAGCTTTGTGTACACACTGATACAAGCTACCGTGTGTATCAGTCTGACTCTGTATAAGCCCTAATCAGTGTACTGACACTACAGGAGGAAATGTAAGGCGAGGAATTACAAGCCCCTCATCAGTGGCACGACAGTGGAGAGAGTGGACA